GTATGGATATGGTGGTACTGGTAAGACATTCCTTTGGAAAACTTTGTCAGCTGCCATTAGGTATAAGGGAATGATTTTTCTTAATGTGGCTTCAAGTGGAATTGCTTCTTTGTTACTTCCTGGAGGTAAGACAGCTCATTCGACATTTTGCATACCATTATTAATTAATGAGGAATCAACTTGCAATATACCTTAAGGAAGTGTTCGAGCTAAACTTTTGATGGAAACAAAACTGATTATATGGGATGAGGCTCCAATGATGAATAGATTATGTTTTGAAGCATTTGACCGAACCTTGAGGGATATTATGAAAGCAACAAATGTAGAGAATCATGATAAACCGTTTGGTGGTAAAGTTATTGTGTTAGAAGGTGATTTTAGGCAAATTTTGCCTATTGTTAGAAAAGGATCAAGACATGATGTGGCGAAGTCATCTATAAATTATTCTGAAATATGGACAAATTGCAAAGTTCTAAAGCTTACAGAGAATATGAGGTTAAATACTGCAAAAACAAATGATAGTGCAAAAGATATAAAAGAATTTGCTGATTGGATATTAAAGATTGGAGATGGAGATGTGCCTTTGAATGAAAATGGTGAAGGACATATTCACATACCCAAAGATCTTTTAATTGAAGGCAATGAAACACCTTTACTTTCATTAGTTAATTTTGTCTATCCTCATTTTGTGCATAACATGATGTATGCTGGTAATTTTGATGATGGAGTCATACATTGTCCTACTATTGATGCAATTGAGGAAGTTAATAATTTTATTTTATCTTTGATTCCTGGTGAAGAAAAAATATACTTGAGTTCTGATACACCATGTCAATCAGATGAGGATCAAGAAATGCAAGGTGAATGGTTTACATCTGAATTTCTTAATGACATTAAATGTTCAAGTATTCCAACTCATCGACTTAGATTAAAAGTTGGTGTTCCCGTAATGTTGTTGAGAAACATTGATCAATCAAATGGTTTATGTAACGGAACAAGATTGCAAGTGAATGATTTGGGAAAAAATGTCATTTCAGCTACTGTAATTGCTGGAAAAAATATTGGAGACAAAATCTTTATACCAATAATGAATTTGATTCCTTCTAATCCTGGATTTCCTTTCAAGTTTCAAAGGAGACAATTTCCTTTATCATTGTTTTTTGTAATGGCAATCAATAAGAGTCAAGGTCAATCACTCTCTAAAGTTGGACTTTATCTTTCGCGTCCAATATTCACTCATAGTCAGTTCTATGTGACAATTTCTAGAGTCAAAACAAAGAAATGACTAAAAATGCTTATATTGGATGAAGAAGGAAATGTAGCATCATGTACTAAAAATGTAGTATACAAAGAAATTTTTGAAAACCTCTAAACATGTGCAGGTACACTGTTATACGAAAAACTACATGTTTATTTCATTTATTTGTTATAATTTTTAATTATTTACTCTATGAAAATGCATATTTATGATGTTCATTGTTGATTCAAAATTATGCTCATTCAATTATCATAAAATAGTACAATTGGTAAGTTTTATTCACAGATCATATAACTATTTTATAAATTATATATTTTGTCATTGTTTATTCTTTTTCTTCCTTTATTGTTTAATTGTGTAATATGTATTGTGAAAAATAAATTTACAATATTTTTCACTAGATTTATCTTTTTTATGTAATATATCACATTTATAAATTATTATACTAATTTATTTTGATTTGTTATTATTGCATATTATACAAATGTGTTACATTATATTATAACCATTATGTTATTATAGAAATCAATAAGGATTTTTTAAATTTTGTATGATATAATTTTATCGATTATATTTTGTATTTATTGTAAGTTTTTTTTTATTTTATATAATTTTTTTAATATAATTTTTTTATTTAAAAATTTTACAAATTGAAGATCATTTATAACATTTCTTTTTTTTATTAATACAAATTATTAATACTAAAATATTATTTATTATTAATATAAAAATTTCAAAAATTTATTAATATTAAAATATTATTTATTATTAATATAAAATTTAAAAAAATCCCGTGCGTTGCACGGGTTATGATACTAGTAATAGACATACTAACCTTTGGAAGCATGAGGGCCACTCAATATTGGGACACGTGTCAAGTGATGCATTAATAGACATATTTATGAATGCGATAATAACCAGGAACTACGCTTAATTATACCTCATCGGATGCATGGTCATGTATGGATGCATTATGCATCATGAACCATGCTTATTTCCCCTTATGATAAAACAATTTTCTTACCAGCAATCATAATTTAGAAATGGCATCACTTTCTGAATTACAAATTTTAACTTTTTTATTATTATTTATTTCAACTATTATTGCAACTAAAAAATCTCACTCAGCTGTCTTATATTTTTTATTCTATTTGATATGTTAATATTTGAATTTTTGCAATATATAAAAGAAAAAAACAAACAAGTTTATTTGTAAGTTAAAAATTATTTTATGTATAGACTAATTTGTAGAAACTATTTATATATTTTTCTCACTTATAAATAAACTAATCTTATTTTATAGCGGAACATTATTAATATTTTTATCATTTTATTTTTATAGATTTGTTTGAGAAAAAAAAAACTTAATCCGTCTCTTTTTATTTAGTTTTTATTTTTTGGTCAAGAAACAATTTTGGAGGTGCCAAAAGCAATACTCCCAGTCACGACAATTATGCTGTTACCTTTCTTATTGGTTTGGACATAGTCTCCATCCACTTATGTTTAAGTCAAGGCTTTTTATACAAAAATTAAAATAGAATGGATAGTCAAATAATAAAATAAATTTCGACTTTTAAAAAATATAACCATAGAAAAATTGATTATTTTTAAAATAACTTGGAAATCTAATCGTTCGCTGCAATTAAAAATAAATGTTTATAATTTAACCAAGAATAAAATAAAAATAATAAAATGAGAAGGATATGATATCTTCTCAGCTCGACTTAAAAAAAAAAAAAAAGTTGTGACAACTTAGCATACTTAAAATTATTTCTTAATTAGTTTTAATAATTATCAATATATAATATTAATAAAAATAATAATTTTTGTTACGATAAAATTATTCTAGGAATTTATTAATGATAATTTAAATTATTATAAACTCATTTTGCAATCCAATATAAAATAGCTAAAATTTTCTTATGATCCCTTGTCTTATTTATATTTTTGTTACAATTCGGTCCTTTAAATTTGAAGATTGTTAATTCAATCAAGACAATATATTCATAGACGGTATCATCCAACGGCTTATTTAATATTGTTTGACTGGACATTATAATTGAGGGATTCTGATAATTTTAGTTGTAATCTTTGTTGAAAAGTTTCATTAATAACTTTATCATCTTAATATTTTCTCCCATTCAAAATCACTCTTAATAACTTGGTATTTTTTTTAATAAATATAATTAAAAGGTAGAAGTATAATAATTAATACAATCTTAAAATTTATAAATATATAAGGAAAATTATGTTATAAAAAATATCATATTTTAAAATAGAGAGAAAATATAGTATTGGATTAAGATGGGAAATATTGAAGTGTATAGTGGCAGGAAGACAAAAAAAGTTGAAGTGCAATAAATGAATGAGAATAAGGAAGTAGTGTATGATTTGGGTACCCCTGGACTAAAGTAATGGGATATAGTTGCAGTTTGAAATTAGTGTTAACTTGGGAAGAAACGTGGTTGAGCTTAAAATTTCGTGGAATTCAAACAAGCATTAAACAAAGACCAACTACCGCCCCATAAGTCGTTCTGGAGTTCCATTTAAGTCTCCGACACGGTATAGGCTTCAGATTATCAGTCTGAGCCTCTGCTTCTTTAATTATAGAATCTGAGAATTGTTGTATCACGGTGATTTAGAGTGAAAAAGGTACCCCTCTTTCAACACTATTTCATCCCATCTTAAACGGGAAACTCTTTTAGGCTTGTGATTCATCTATCGGATGAAAATGACCTCACAGATGCAGAAGCTGTTTCTTCTGATTTAATGCACCCTCGCACTTGGAACTATTTAAGACTACATGTTTCCATTACTTGAACTGTGCGTGACAAAAATTACTGGGTAAAAAGGATGACAATGCAACCTCCCAACTAAGCGGTTGGAAGGGTCTATTTTATGAAACTATTATTTGTCTCACCCTCTTCATCAAAAAGAAAATAAAAATTTTGCATAGTATAGGAATGGGTGTAATTTTTGGACCGGATAAATAAATAAAATAAAACCAACCTCAACCTCTCAGTCTTCATTGGAATGCTCTTCAAGACGATGTAATGACTCGGTTCGGTTAAAGATACAAGTGAATCGGGTAAAGGAATAAAGTTACTGATAATCCGAAAACATTGAACCCCAATTCCAAGAATAAAAAAAAAAAAACACTGTAAGCTTCGGAACTTGCTGGAGTCTGGAATGGTAAAGCTAACAATCATGGAACACGTAACTCAGGTTGGTCCGATTCAGAAAAGGTTTTTAACAGTACTATCTTCGGGGCACAAACAGTAAAAAATACGAAATTAATTCAATTGATTTTAAAAAATCATTTACTATTGGCCACTTCCTAAGAGAAGAAAATATTTTTTTAAGGAATATCTATCATTTCTCCTGAAACAACTGTTACCAAACATGCTGTAAAGCAGCAATTTCGCACACCAGGGTGGATGGAGCAAGACTGACCACATGAATAAGCGAGGAATGATCAAACTCGCAGACTTGCTGACAAGGTATAACATAATTTGGCATGCATAAATAAATAAAAAACATGAGTAAATTTAAAGCCAAACTGCTCTTGAATTTCACAGAAATTGAACAGCTGATACCAATCAACCTGCGGCAACTGTCACATTTAACAGGACAAAATGGGGTGAGGAAGGAAAAAGGAACGGATGATTTAACATCACTCATTATAGGATCAAGTACAAAAACATGACAGTGTTCCCATGGATCAGACCTACTCCAACGAATTTCAAATTTTCAGCTCCTCCAAGATACCCATAGTCTCTGATTCTGGTGGTATGTTCTCAGCCTTGTCCGTCACTTGAATTTTAATTGGCTGTTTATCTTGCTGGCAGGGGGCACTAGCAATTGGTAGATCCTTTTGTATGGGAGCAGATTCATCCCTTCTAGGAGGTGGAGCAGCATATACAGGAACAGCTTGTCGAATATGGACTGCAGGAGCAACTCGTACTGGAGGAGCCCGTATTACAGTATGGGATGGCACTGAGGCAGGTGGGGGGCAAGGTGGTGCAGCAAATGCTGGTACTACAGTCCTTATAGTCACTGCTGGTGCAATCCCCTGGCAAGATGATCTCATTTGTCGAATAGGAACATAAGGTGCTGCTCCTACTGCAGGGAACTTAAGGGGACGTACCCCTCGGCTTTCTAGAGCACAAGACTGTGGTGGAAGGGTGGAATTGTCACTGGTCACTGCAGCCTGTGGATGCCTGCTTCGAATACTTTCATTTGCTGTTGCCACTGATGGCTTACTTCGAGGTGCTGTCTTTTGGCAAATTAGGGGAAGGATCTTTGATGAAGTGGCTGGCTGTGGTTGAGAACTGATTGGTCTGGGATTCGGAATCTGAAACCTTTTATGAAATGAAATGGGAGTATTTGGATTAGACATTGTCATCTTTTCCTTCAAACGGTAGTTTAGTAAAGCCCGCGCTATTGTAATCTGTTCCAGTTCATCATTGTTCTCTGGTTCCGTTGAGGAGCTTGCAGTCTCTTTTGCCACTGGAAAGAAAATTATTGCCAATTAGTATTCAATCATTCACACAGGAATCATAAATCATCATATACACACAGTAGACAAAAAATGCTGTTTTACTGCCAAAAAGACATGTGTAAATCTATTTGGCAAAAGGCCTTCTAAATAAATTATCTTTAAACTAAAATGGATTAGTACTAAATCAGATAAAAATGAATTCCGCAGAACATGACATTTTGAGCGTAACTTGTTAGTACACTGCCCTTGGGTTGGGTATTTCCACTGTCCCATTTTGTAATCTCCTACTCGTAGAATGCTATGTTCAGAAAAAAAATTGACAGGAAGTCTGTATATTTACAGGAAAATAACTAATTTTCCAGACCAAAGTTCACTTGCAACTTACATTGTTTCAATGCCGACCATGCTGCCATAGCTGCATTTTTCTCAGCTTGTTTCTTATTCTTTGCAGGTTCTCCAGTAAATGAGATTCCAGCAAGCTCTACTATCCCAGTAAAAACAGGTAAATGTCCTAGGCCAGACCTGTACGTTGTGTAATGAGGTAATGGGGCTCCTACCCTTTGCGCAATTTCTTGTAGAAGGTTCTTGTACACTCCAGTCTCATCCTAAAAACATTGAAAACAATAAGCATGTGCAAAAAGTTAAAAAATAAAAATAAAAAAATTAAAGATGCAATGAAGACACACCATGTAATGCGGTTCAAACATTACACATGTTTCTTCCACATAAAAAAAATGATGGAAAAAAAAAGCATTACAAGTTTACAGCAGGTGAACTTTTTCCAAACTATAAAGCAGAGCAGCATAAAGTTCACTTCTAATTTTAGAAACAAATTCATGTTATGTTCTCTTTCATAAAGTTTTCTAATAAAGACTTACGGATGACTGAAAAAGAAAAAATAATAATAACTCATGGTTGATAATTTGTACATGTTAACCGCAAATTTTTGGCTCATGATGTTTAGGTTAATTGGTAAGATCAAAGTTCTACATCTACCGGCAACATTTGTGCACTAATTTAAAAAAACAAGTAAACAAGTAAAACATTAGCATAGCAGTAAAAGAGGTTAACGAGTTTGAATATAAACGAAGCATAAGAGAGTGCGGGTTGGTGAGAAGGCGCAGGTTCGCAAAGATATTTGGGGGTTAAGGAGATGAGAAAGGGAGAAAGCAAAAACCCTAGAAGCGGCAATGAGAGAGAAGACTCACGAGGATCTTGGCAGCGAGGGAGTGGGAGGGACCACGGTGGGAGAGGGAATTGAGAGCAACTTCGGCGGCGGAGTGTTCGGCCTGACGGAGAGTGGAGCAGTAGTGAGGACTCTCGAAGATCTCGCCGTTAAAGTTGACGGTGGCCTTGAACCTGGGCGCGTGATCGGGACCTTCCCGAATGCACGTGTAGGAAGGCAGGTTGAAGCAGCTCCGCTGGGCCAGCTCTTGAAGCTGGTTCTTGTACATTTCCACCGCCACCACCAGCACCACCGAGAAAACGGTAGCCACGCGCGGATCGGGTCGAGTATTTCGGGTCGGAACGGTAAATTGGTCTCAGGACAGATGAATGGTTAGGGTTTGTCGACGGAGAAACGAGACGAGGTTAGTGAGAGAAAGTTGAGGAGTGAGAGAAGGAGAGGAAAGTGCAGAAGAAGAGAGTGAAGGTTAATTTCTTTGATTTCTGTGAATAATAATAATATTATAATTATATTGGGAGGTTATTTATTGCGATGTTGTTGTGAGTCAACTCAAACGTTAGGCTGAAATGCACCAGTGCAGTGCATGGATGTGAATGTGATCTTTTTCTATATTTTCATATTTTATCACCACTTTTTACTTCCCATTTTTTTCCACAAAGTTTCATTTATTACTATTAATTATTAATTTACTAATCTTTGTCACCAACGTCTTAGCTTATTTAATGTTAATTTAATGTGAGTTTTTGCCATCTTCAATAAACATCCCTACTACAATTAAAATACTGATTACAAAATTAAAGCTATGGCATTTAATAATAAATCATTTATTAAAATTTTCAATAATTATTACAAAAAATATCAAGGATGTTTTTTTAAGCATAATACATCAATAATAATTCCACTCAATTTTGCATATATTTTTTTTAAATAAAATTAGAATTAATTCCTTAATTAATACTACAACTATCTTCTCAGATAGTTAACGAGACCATTAATTTTATATCCACATTGGTCACCTAAAAACTTTCAAACTTTCTCCTCCCATCTTGTTAAGGCCTAAACTGCAATTGTTTAAACTCTGAGAAATTCGGTTTTGGTCAAATTGCATACTTTTTTAAGTTAAATATTACTGCTTCTAATTTTTATCTAAATTAGTTAAGTGGTTTTTTGTTTTAAAATATATTATTAATTGCTTTTTATACTTAAGTAAATTAATATATTACACCACTAGCATAATCTTATTTTTCATTTAATGTACGTGGGACTGTTTTAGTAACATTATATAATAGGGCTAGTACTACATTTTTAACTTAGTATATTTCAAAACAGTGTAAAGTATTATGACAACATTTTAGTAGACTAATATAAGTCAATTTAAAAAAAAATAAATATATATATATATATATATATATATATATATATATAAGAGCATTAAAAGAAGAGGAAAATTATTATCACTTTATTTTGTTCAACATATTTTCTTAACAAAAAAAAGTAAGGAAAGGAAAAATAAAAACATAAAAATAACATTATAAAGAAAACAAAAAGGGTATTTTAAAAAATAAAATAGATAATTTTTTCAACCCAAACTTCATCATTCTAAGCCCTGTGGCATCTTCATTTTAAATGTATAAAGGTAGCACTAGATTTAATAAAAAAAAATTATAATAAAATAAAAATATAATAATTTTATTAATAATAATATTTTTATAAAAATAAAGAAAAATAATAAATATTGTTATGTAAATTATAATAAAAAATTTGAATATAAAATATATTAAAAAATAAAGATAAATAATTATTAAAATAAAATAAAAATATAATAAAATAATTATTTATTTAAAGTTGATATAAGTAATATAAGATAAAAAAATAAAAATATATTATATCTTTTATAAAAAACTATTAAAGAAATTTGATCTAAGTTTTTTTTTACCAAATTCAATTCAAAAACCAAGTTATTTTTTCAAAATTTACTAGTTTTACCTCAATTATTCTAATTTATTCCTGGTTATTTACTTATTTATCAGTATTTATTATATTTTAACATTTTTTTAATATTATAAAAATCTAAAATATTATCAAAATAAATTCAATAAATTAACTCTAAAATATTAAATAATTATATAAGTTAAATTTAAATAATTTCCCATATAAATAATTTTCCATAAAATTATAGATAAATGATAACAAAATTTAAAAACATTAAAATATAGACTTATAAAAAAAATATTAACTTTTTCTTAATATATAATTTTAAAAAATAATTAGTTTTATATTATATTTTAATAAATAAATTAATAATTGTTAAAATAGTTATATATTTATATAATATGTAAGTATACATAATGGAGTTTGGACATTATTTTTAACCGTTTTTTAATGTTATTGGAAAGGAAAAAAATACCATAATTTAAAGAAAAAATCATTATTTTAATTTATATATTTTAAAAAATAATGAATAGGAAAAAAATATTTGTAATTAGTGAAAAAAAAAATGTGGGTACATTTAGTTGTTGTCTTTCCACCGGTTAAAACAGAGGAAGGGAGGGAAGAGAAAATAATAATAATAATAATAATAATAATTATGTGAGAGAAAAATAAGAAAGAGTTGGTAAAAAAATAAAATAAATACTTTTAGAATCAAAATTTATATATAAATAAATAGGTAAAAATGTATTTAAATATTTTCTGTAACAAATATTATTTTTTGTATAAAATTCTCTTTTCATCCCCTAAGTCATACGAAGTGAAAATTGAACAGTGCTAGAGAGTTATTTATATTTGTAAATAGTTTATCTTTTCATGGCAAGTTGGATATACATTTGAAATTATATTAAAATATCAAACATATGTATAAGATATTTAAAAAATTGTTATTCCTAAAAATGACATTCCCAAAAATATAGTATTTATCGCAAATAAATTTTTTGTGATATATATATAATGAAATTATACTTCTCTCGTAGTTCTTCTCAAATGACACTAAAATCTCCACTAACTAGGTATACATTTCTCTCACATAGAGGTCAAACACTCATATCTACTATTATTTTAAAATATGAGTACTGATATTCATACAACTTTATATTTATTCAACAATGTATAACTCAATTTAACAGTAGAAATAAATGCAAAAATTTAAACTTCATTATTATTATTATTATTATTATTATTATTATTATTATTATTATATTAAATTGTTGGATGAACGATGGAGGTAAAGAAACTATTGAATTATAATTTTTCTTAAATATAGATTACTTCTCTTATTTATTTTTAATAAAATTAAACTTACACTTCTTTCATAAGCATCCACCTTCTTTATTTGATAATAAATGACAGACACTCATTTACATTATATTTTCAATAAAGTTATACTTATACATATCTTAGAACAAGGTAATTACATATTTTTCCTATATATTAACAAATTGTCTTATTTATTTGCCCACTTGAAAGGTGATGATAACAATGAACATTATCAAGAAGTTAAATTTATTCTATACATAAATAAAAATCATAGTTAATTCTATTAAAGTAGATTATTCTTCAAAATAGATTTGGATAAAAAAAATATGAATATTTTTGAAAATATATCATAACCTTAACTTAATAGCATATAAGATTAAATTCATTTTACAGTTAAGTAACACCAGTTCATAAAAGTCATAGAAATACTATACAAAATTTTTAGGTAGAAGGCATTTAGCAGTTGTATCTCGGTTTCAAGTTCCAACTAAAAAAATATGTTTTTAATCCTCTAAAATAAACGAAACTTTTCTAAGTTAAAATTACAACTTTTAACTCCTAATATTATACAATATTAATTAATTACTCATGTACTAAACAAAACATTAAATAATAATTTTAAACAACACATGTTAATATTACAATATCAGTATGTGTCACCTAGAAAAATTCTTTAAATCTGTAAAATAAATATTATGTACGTATCTTAAAATAAATATCAAGACTAGAAACAATTATCTAAAACTTTAAAGAGATGCAAATCAAAGAAAAATATTTTGTATGAACTAAATCAAAATTTACACATTTATTTTATAAGGAATAAAAATTGAGATTTCAATTTTTATAGGATAAAAAAATTGCAGAGACTACAATTAAAACTTGCTAATTTTACAGAGAATAAAAACATTTAAGTTTTTTAATGTATGTAAGCCGTTCAACAAGTGAATACAATACATTTAAATGTATCTCCTCACATACAACAAAAAAGGGACGAAATAATGGAGAAAATAAAATACTATATTGATTGAGGGAAATTTCATCCTTTATTTTTCTATCATGTGGTATGACTTAGTAGTAGTAGTAATGTTTTGTTATCCTTGGAAGCGGTTCTCTTAAAGAACCATGTCGATATGCCATATAATAGCAGAAAATAAAAAATGAAAACGACATCCTTTACTTTTCGGGTGCTTCTATTTTCTCCATCCTGAAGTATCAACTACAGGCTGGGTGAATGGAAAATTTTCCTAATTTCTTGGCCTCCATGAATTCGAGTAAACTTTATTTCATGGTGACAATACTGTGATAGACTCTGTCACTGTCTTTAAAATCGCTAAACCAAAGGGAGCTTCCATCCTCACTTCCCTGATTGCAGCTCAATTCTGCTTAAAGAAGCAACGCTTACACGTCCGTAAATGAGAAGCTAAGCATGGTGCTCAACCACTACTTACTATCACATATTCACATCATACTCGATGCACATAAACACCTGCTCAAATGTTTAGTTGATACTTAGACACAACAAACAAAGCAAAGGTTTATCAGCTGCACAATCGTCTATCCAAACGTATCAAACAAATCAGATCATACTTTTTTTATCATAATGAGAGCTTACATCATCCCTAAAATAATAGCTCACTGGGATTGAAACAACCATACCAACTAACCAGTCTCTGCCCTGCTTGTATAAACTATAGAAGCACTTAAAAGCGACGAAAATAAGAGATTAAAAGACATCGAACTCTTCCATAAACTAAAATTAATTTATGAACATTAACCATTGTAGAAATAAGATGAAAAAAACTTCTATAAAAATAAATGTATAAGTTAATTTTAACTTATGCAAAAAATCATTTTATTTTACCTTATTATCTTCTCTTACAAGTACATGAGAATAAATTTATCCAAATATAACCTATATGCTAAGAACTAATGGTCTTTGAAGAAAGTTACAACACAGCAGCAGTTCTGCTGTAAACACTAACATACTGATAATATAATAATATCCATAATAATTTCTTAATAGAACATGAAGGGAAAATAAGGAAATAATAAATTCATTAGAAATTTTATTAAATGAACATTCTCATAATGTTTACAGCATTTGATAGAAAATCACCACGAAAAGGGGCTAGCTCCTAGCAAAAATATTTCATTTTCCACATCTTTTACCCATTGACACACCCGATTGCAAGTCTTTATTGCCAAGGCCTGCATATCAGTGTACAAAAAGTCAGACTTTATCCAACCAGAATAGCACAAAATAAATGCAACTATTTTGCTATCATTCCCCAAAAAATTTAATGAACCGTCGATTTACTCCCCAAATATCGCCCTCCCTCCTAAAGAGTTATTAAAATGAAATTATAAGAGTAGTTCCTTAAGGATTGAATATCCATCAATTTAGTCCCTAGATTGATATGTTTTACCCGTATTGAGAGGGACTAATTTCAAGAATTTTTCAATATTTAAGGGATTATGAAGCATGGTTTCTAATACTTCAGGGACAAGTTATATAGCTTCATTAGTTCAAGGTCTACTTAGGAGAGAGAGGTTATACTTTAGACATCAAATTATTGGCTTATTCCCAAAGAAATAAACTAGACTAAGGGAATTTTACCAAATGTTGCTATCTTAATGTCGAAAGGAAGGCTAACAAGAAGATACACAGTGCTAGATTTCTAAACATTAGATATTTTTATTCAGATATTCATTGAATGTAAATTATGAATAAACCGATTGCTACTGATAGAAAATATAGTAGTTATAGGAGCTTGACATTTCTGTATAACATAAAATAATTGAGATTTGAGAAAGGTTGTAGGCAATAAAGAAAAAATACCTTGTCTGCAAGGGGATCAAATGCAGCATAAAGCTCAAAATCCTGTGTTACCCAACAGAGCAGCACTGCCAAAAAAATTATCGAACAACTCTGATTACTGTTCCACGAAGCATCCAAATGTAATGGCACAATTATATCCCAATGCAACTAAAACAAACAGTGTAAGTTCTACGAATCACTCAATAGGTTTAGTTTTCACTAGCAGATTTGACTTTTCACAGCACAGCAAAACACGTATAGAGAGCGACCAGTCTATTGGAGGTATGAATCTCTATATGCATCTCATAAAAATATAACGGGTTTGCTTATCAATAGAATCACTCTATCTGACAATCTAAAAATAAAACCAAGCGCAAATACCACAGAAAAAAGGAATATCAGCAACTCCCCTTCTTCCCCACAAGAAGAAAATCACAGTTCATTGAATTAAAAATAAATTATTGCAACAATTGATTAAGGGTAATAGCTACAACAGACTCAACATCACATATCCATATCTTATACAAAGCAAGAATAAAAAAATTGTTACCGTAGTTTTCATCCCTTCTAAACTGAGTTTTGTGTGGCCCAATTCCTTTATCATGCATGGAAGCAAAAAGTTTCTGGTAACCTCTATACAGTCTACAACAAAGGAGGTAGGTTATGTTGCTGACAACAACAATAACGCATTGAAAAAAAAAGCTACAGATACCTAAAAACCAAAGAAGTTTCAGAAAAACACTACCTTTTCTGCTGCTTAGGAGTGTTAATTGGTGATGAGAACTCTGAAGATATATATTGATCCAGATAAATGCTGCGATAAATAAAATGCCACAACCCAGCAGCACCACCAACGCCACAATCAGGTTCCCTTGATCTTTCAGGGGAATCTGATGGAACTCTATGCTGACCTAAATGAGAAGAGCCAGAACGAGGTAAGGGTGGTAGATCCTCAACACGCATCCCACCATCTAGCAAGGATCTTTGAGCCTCACTAAGGACATTTGACTTCAAAAGGACAGCTTCAATACCAATCCTGTGAATTGGCAAACAAATTTTTGAGCCATGAAGGCAAGAAAGATATTGCTACATTGAGAGTGAGAATCTCAATGTTATGAACCATTATCTTCTTTCCTCCTTTGAATTTCCTTCTTTTTTCCAGAATTAAACATCATGAACCCAATGATAACAACAGTAGATTATTAAACTATCATTTACCTGCAATCCTTAAGATGGTAAAATGAATCAGAACTCGTGGTCAGCAACATCAAATATGTATCATCCTGCCAGATGTATATATGTAATGATATGTGACCTCTTTCATTTATAAGAAATCATATTGCAAATTTTATTGCAATCAAATCTGACTCACATCAAAAAAGTGGATATAAGCATACAAAAATGCCAAAGCATTGTATCTTGGCAAGCAAACCGGAGAAAATGCCTCTGAAGTCCTGCATATTCATAGTACAAGAAAATTAAAAAAATTGTAAAAAGGTACAATTGTCAAAGGAATTGATTTGCAAAATATTTGCTATTAATTGGTGTAGATTGTAGAATAATCACAGAATAATTGTTATTATTGGTGAATATTCGTTGGTTGCAGATATTGAATGATTGTACAACAATAATTATATGATTATCTCCTCGATTGTACAGCATTTATTCTAAAATATTGTTTCCTCACTATTTAATGGAGAGTTCTCCAGAGGAGAACACAGCATAATATGCATCTTCTGTAACTCTAATAACCATAACACAAAGAAATACAAAGTCCAAGGTTCAAGAAGTTTTACTGTTTGTGTCAAGTAGACTGAATAAATAGAAAACTATACCATCAAACAGAAACTAGGCAGTCTAGACTAAATGAAAATTAAACTATACAATCAAACCATCCCTGAAATGCTATCTGAAGGATAAACATAGTGCCAGTTTTACTTGCCTAAACGATTCAGATGACATAACAAAGTTGGCCAGGAGCAGCATGTCATCTGGATGAAGAGAGGCTTTCTGAGCACCAACTAGACTGATTACCTGCCTTCAACCTTTAATGAATTATTTTATCATGTGATGTTAGCATTTAACTAGACAAATTCAGTGTTAAACCTTGTGTCTGCACATCAGAATTGCAAACAGAACACCAGAATCAGCAACGTCTTGCAATATAGCACCAGCAGCTTGCCTTGTTGCATATGCAAGAGGCAGACAAGTATACGCATGAAGAAATGTAGCTGGGTTCCTGATACAATCAGACAAAGAACAATTTTCACCATCCAAATATAACATACGAAATTGCAGAATATAAACAACCCTTGCTTCCCAACCCATGAAATAAATTCATAGAAAAATACATAAAAAGCACAAAAAACACCTCTATCTTATACAAAGTGTTTTAATATTTCGATTTTCTAAAAAGAAATGTGGTCAGAGCAGAGAAACAAACCAACTAAAAGAGTGGATTAGTGAAGAGAAAACAATGTCTGTTCCACCAAGCAAGGGTGTCATATCAAACTTTGGATTCTTCTCAAAACATCTGTTTACTGACTTTGTTAGTATAACAATCATCTGCATACATACCAATAACAGAGATGTATCATACAACTGCTGCAACAAAACTACTTCATTTCAATGACAGAAAACAGACACAATTACTAGTAAGTTAGGAAACACAAAAGTTGAAGTAACAGGAATAGTAAGTAAGCAAACAACAAATCCACTTTTCCATGGGGCATATAAGCATCCAACTCAAATCCAACACAATTATACCTGGCCATGAATAATCTCTAACTGCCCCCTTAGTGACTCGTAGGGCTCTTCTGTGCAGCTGATGCAGACCAAGTAAATTGGTCCTTTTACAAGAAAAACCACCTGCAGCATAATTTCAAACTAAGATTCAATAACACAATCATCCTAATTGTAAGAGATAGAAGCCTCGACCTCCTAAACACTAATAACTTAAGGTGAGAAGCTCAGCAATCAAAAAGAAAAAAAAAACTTATATCTATTATCTCTAACTAACACTTCTAAGCTCAGCAAGAATTAAAATATCATTTTGCATAGCACAGGATTCATTAGGGCTTGAAGCACAGGTTTATAAGGAAGTAATGTTTAATGAAACTGTGTAATCATGAGCACAAACTTTTACAAGAGATAACTGTATGATCAGACCTGATGCTTTCCAGCCCTCACCAATTTGACATGGTCACCTCTGAAAACATAATAGATAACCATTAGAAGAATTACTTAAATTATATTCAGTTAAGAATCAAATATATTTAAGAATATTGCTGTAATTATAACTATTGGGCTATAATTAACCGGAACTAAGGCAGCTATAATACCCATTCTCCACAAAGGAAATGATTGCCTGCAACGTTGCTGAAAAACCAGCAAGCTTGTGTTCGTCTCCATACCTGAGACAAGAAATAGAGGAATTCATCCTAGACAAAGATTCTAACAGCAATCTAGGAAAGTTTGTTTGTGAAGCAGCTGATAAAGACTAACCTAGAATATATTGGTTTGCCAGAATGACTCAGAACAAAAAAATGCTTCTTCCTTTTCCTCCATGAAATAGAAGCATCATCCTGCACTTTATTCATTAATCAAACAGAATATAACATTACAGCCTTTACAGATATCTTCACTGTAATGCCCTTATTTAAAAAAAAAAAAATCCAAATCGGAAAAACTGAAGTTCTTAATCAGAATTGCCAACTAGCTCATAATAATCAACGACAATTTATTGGAATTCGAAAGTCATCGCTTGAAACCAGACCATTATTTAATCACGATTGTTACCCATATTCCCGTCCAATTTTGTTATCGTTTTCGTTTTTACTCTTTTTGCCTTGCAAACAGAATCATAACTATTGGAGAAAATGCTCAGTTGCCAATCCCCTCCCCCGGGCCACGCATATGATTCTACTAAACCGATCATTTCCCCACAGTTTCTATTTATGTTATAAACTAAAAAATACACGATCATCACAGACTCAGCACGAGGAGTTGTATTGTGAATTTAATAAAAAAACTGTATATGGAATAAACCCTATACGGCACTGCAGCATGTAATCTCCATCAATGAAATCTAAGGACCAAGAACAACTGCAAAAAGAAGGAAGTCGAGTTTCGAATTTATCACTCTTCTGGTCCAAATGTGCTATTAGAATTTTGAAATCACTGATTAAACAATAGTTCGTCGTAGTGAGTGATAGCAAGGGAAGCACGAGCGAGAAAGAACAATCATTATATGCACAAACAAATCCAAATATACAGGTTTCGAAAGCACTCACTAGAAAAGCCTAATTTGCATTATCACGACATCAATTGCAAAGGTCACGCAATTCTATATGAAACCGTAATCTAATAATTGGATCAATAATCAGTTAATTGTAATTGTTCATAACAGTGAGTGAGTGAGTGAAGGGCACTGAAACGAAGTAGGAAAGAATTTAGGGGGAAACGTTTATATATACCTCATCGCCGTGTCGTTTTCCGGGAAGCCAGGAAGAGTGAGAGAGAGGTTGGGGATCGTGGATGGTGATCTCCTGAATTTCGTTGCTAAGGACCTCTTCCACATGGGAAACGGATGTGGCAGTGCTGCTTCCCCGCTCGGGAGCGTAACCGCTGCTAGTAGGGCTGGAGGGATCGGAGGACGGCCGGGCGGCAGATCCGTTGGGTTGTTGGAGGTCCGATGGTTCGGCATCGAATAGGCTCTGTGAGAGCGGAGGCAAGTGGAGCAGAATGGAAGATTCGGAGTCATGCTCCGACGAACTCATCTCGCTCATCGCAATTCAACGGAGGGGGGAGAGAGAGTTGCTGCTGGTACTTGTTCCTTGCTTCGGCGGAGAGGAGTGAGTCTGAGTAGACGCGTCCAGTGTGCAACCCGCCAACACTGTCATCTGTGGGCCGGCCTAACACGTTTCTCAAGGCCCAATCCTTCAATTCGCCATCTTTGTACCACTCATTATACCATACCATGGTTATATTTTTAAACTATTTTATAAAAACTTATCAATATTAACAAGTATGAACGTAGAGATTTAATAAAAGGTATTTATATAAATACTTTATACCTATGATCTTCAAAACAATATATTTAATAAATTAAAGGAATGACTTTTTAAAAATAAAACATATATACTTGGTTATATTTAAAACTATTTTATAAGACTTCACCAATATAAATAAATATGAATAAACATTTAGTGAAGCAGTTTCCCTTTACTAAGTCAATTCTGGTGACCCTGATAAAGTTATAAAGCAAATTGTCAATAAGTGTGTATGAAAACTCATTAAATAATAATTGGTCAAATCATCAATCTCACTAGTTATGCAGAATCATAAACATAAATTATAGTGTGATTATACTAAAAAAATGAATACTTTATATTTTACATAAAAAATTATCCGTGAGATAATTAATATAGGTAATCATACCGGATGTAAAGTTAAAAGGTTCACAAATTTTAAAAAAATTCATTACTTTTTCACTCACTCACACAAGGTAATTTTAACAAAATATTGAAAAATGATTTACGTTGTGTTTGACAGATATGAGAGACTGTTTACAATGTGTTTCTGGTGAAAATTTGATCGATTTTGATTTATCGGGAGTTAAGTTCTAATCAAATCTTAACCATGTAGATTCTTTTTACTTAGGCTAGCAACTAGTTTTCTATCGAAAAATGCATGAGAATCGAGAATCTTATAATGTAAAACGACATGACCTAGAGTACAAAAAGTACTATTTTTGATGTTTTTTCTTAAGAAATGCGAAGTAAAAGAAACATTGAATCGAAAAGCAATGTGGAATATTAAATTGTAGAGAAATGTAAAAAAAAATGGAAACCTCAAATTTGCATTAAGTGTAAATGACGAGAAATCGAAATTGCAGGAATGTAAATAACAGGAAATCAAAATTGCAGAAATGTAAATAACAGGAAATCAAAATTGCAGAAATGTAAATAACAGGAAATCAAAATTGCATAAGTGTAAATAACGAAGAACTTGAACGCAGAATCTCAACTTACATAAAAGTAAAATAACAAGGAATTGAAAGTGCAGAAACTTAGAGTTGCTAAACGTAAACTTGCATCAAAGTAAATTGCATGAACATAAATTACCAGGGAAAGTAAAGAAAGCGATACAGACAATCAATAAAAATGGAAACCCAGATCGCCAGAAACTTTATGATTCGTCGTTCTCCGGTAGACTTTTTCACTTGTGTTTCTGTTGTTTCTGCCAATTTTCCCCTCTTTTTCAAGTCTTCGCTCTATTTATAGAGCATCCTTCAAGTAACCTCCTAAGAGTGGTTAATAAAAATGTCACCACGATCCTACGTGCACGTCCCTTAGTTTTACGGTTTAAAAACTATATTCCACGTTTTCACGCGTAAGAGAACTGCTCCCTTGATCTTCGATCTCAGCCATCGAGTATTTTGAATTGCTTTTGATTCCCTTTAATTCTTAACTTTGCATTATTCTAATTTCTCGATTCTCTTCAACAATATACATCAAAATTTGTTTCTTCGATTCTCGATTTTGATTTTCGATGTGTTTTTATCTTTGTAGTCATCGAGTGTCTTTACCGAGTCTTATCGGTTTTTAACCAACTATATGATTTTCGATTTTCTTTATCTGGTTCTTTCGATCCTGGTATCGATTTTTCTTTTACTAACACACTGACAGAAAAAAAGAGAGAATTTATGTTTGAATAAATGGATTTGTACAAAAAGAAAAAAAGAAAAATGTGGGAGTTTGTTTAAGCTCTTTCCTCTCTTACGTAGGAAGAAAGAAGAGGAAAGCCACATACATATAAGTAAAAAATGAAGTTGTCTTTCTTTATTTCATCATTATCATGATCTCGTAAATAATTTTATAATTATTTATTTATATAATTTTTAATAACTATTTTAAAAAATTATAATTTTTTAAATTTGTTTCCACGTATAAACAGTTTTAAAAAAATTATTATCTTTTTCTTTCAAATATATAATCAATATTAAAATACGAATAATTAATTAAAATTTTATATTTATAATAATTTTAATTTTATTTTATACATAAGATAAAATAATAATTTTTTAAAATAATCAATTAAAATTATAATTTTTATATCTCATATCAATCAAATTATTCTCAATTTCCTATAAACTTTCTTTTCATTTTCTATTCATCCAAACTACTTTAATTTTTCTCTTTTTTTTTTTAATTCCCTCATTTCTACTCCCCAAATCATTCCCTCATTTCTCCTCCCCAAATCACTCCAACCAAACAAAGTATTAAAGTATACACCATTAAAAATGGCAAATTTGAGCCGAAAATGTTGTTTTGATTAGTTAGGAGTCTCTATCATTGTCTTGAATATATATGGGGTCATATCCTGATTTTGGTCCACACCTAAACCCACTCACATAAATCAACTACCCCAAACCCAAACCCCACCAATCATTGAACAACTGCTACTTCCACAATGGCCCCACCAATTCACCATTTCGATTTTTGTCACCACAAAATATTCCGTTCAATCCCACAAAGAAAGCTAAATTGTATTATGAATGAAGGATGATAAAGGACTCCAATAACATTACTAGAAAATAAAAAACTTCTCGTTGCAAATTAAAATCTCAAATTCCGATCTGATACACATACACGAACGTTCCAAAAAGAGAAAATAAGACTCAGAAAAATGGAAAATCTCCAAGACCTGTCAACAAAACTCATTTTAATTCATAATAGTAGTAAATTAGTAACAACAATTAACTAACTTATGGTCCTGTGGTAGGACTTTTGGTCCTAGTCTTGGAATCCCGTTTTCGCCCAAATCGCGTTTCGAACCCTACTAAGATCGCGTCCTTTGAGAGTTCTCCCAACTCCTTCGTGCACCGACAACGATGCGATTCTCGTCTTCGCCAGAAACTCGTGGGGAGGCACTCTCCCTGCTTCGTCCTCCTCATCGCTCAGCGCTTCATCGTCGTCACTCCGCCTCCTGTTCTGTCCGTACTCGTTGCCGAGGATCTTTGACCAGTCCGGCACGTTCACCGGCAGCGACGCCGGAGCACCGTCGCGGCCGCCAGAGGAAGAGGAGTTATTATGGAATCTGGATGCGCGTACGGATTTGCGGAATTCAGGAGAGTTAGCGCGTGCGGAGTTATAGAGATCGGATTCGTCGAATTCGAAGGTGGAATCGGAGAGCGAATCTCTATTGACGGAAGGAAGAAAGCGATAAGGCGCTCTGCGAATGTTGGTGGCCATGAAAACCGAGCTTTCGATCAAACTTGGTCCAATAATAATAGTCTGAGAGTTTGTTAGTTGAGGTTGAGGACTTTGAAAATGAAGTTCTTCAGGAGGACTGTACTCTGTTTGGGTTCTTCTATGTGCTTTTATAAAGATTAGTTTACTTTTTTTTATTTTTATACATAATAATAATAAATGAGGAGAGAAAATGGTTTTTTTTTTTGTATGCTTGCGTAAGCATTGTGGATAAGGCAGCAATGGCATGGGTGGAGTAGATTTACGAAATTGCCCCTGATAGAAATAATGGGAGTGAGTGTGGAAAAGTGAATTGGGGGTTACGAGAAGGATTGGAGAAAGTTGTCGCGGAGCGGGGTTCTACTCACTTGGGCGGGATCGAGAAAAGAGGACAGGGTGGTCCTGTTTAGAGGATCGAGGAGGAGGGGGACACGTGTGAAGCGTGGGAAGGGGAAGGGACATGATGCATAATGATGTTGATGATAAAATTGGGTTGGATCAAGTGCATAGTGGTTTCTTATTGCCAGCTTAGTACAACTGGATATCTAATGTCCTCTCAAATGCGACATGCCATAATCACCATGTTTATCCTCTCAAACTTCTCTATTATCACCTCATTCCCCAATGCCCAATTTGATTCATGGAGCGACATGCTTTCTTCGTGAAGTGGTTTTCATGAGTTTTTTTTTCATTTATTTAATATTAATATTACAATTCTCATTTTTTTTATATATATAAATATTTAGTATTTCAAATTTATTTATTCTTTTGTCTTTTAGTTTCTTCTATCCACCTAATGGTGGTTGTAAACAATAGTTTGAATAAAAGTTGGTGTACTAATCCAGCTTTCTTTAAGATTAATCATTAATGTTAATAATTAATCACGATTAGCATACCCTATATTATTTGTTAGATATGTAGCAACTTGAGTTCGTTTTCTTCAACTAACATTAAAAAAAAAAAATTATGTGACTTTAATTATTGATAGTTGGAATCTGTGCCCTGCTTTTGATAGTGATGTGCGGATACTACATGTAACCTTATGCGAACATATAATCTAAGTATATTATATAATTGAAAGCATCTTGTTCACTTTAGCTTCACAAGTGAGACGCAATGAATCAAAGTACCCTTCTTTTGACGTTTTTCTAAAGGCATATGCATTACTTTACTTTTAAATGCAAGTGAGTGCATTAAGAATGTCTTACTTACCTAGCTGTCCAAAAAGAGTATAACCTCTTTTAGGTTTCCCTTGGTTTAAAGGATTGAAAGAGAGAAATAATTTTTTTTTGAGAATAGTTGTTTGGATTAATAGATATGTAAATAACAGAGATGAAATAAGAGACTAAGAGATTATCCTTTTTATAAATGAGAATAAAATATTTTTTAAAATAATTTTATGATATTAAACTTTAAGTATATAAAAATAGGAAAATTAAGAATAAATATTTAATTTTTTATTTTATATAAATAAGTGATTTTTAATATATAATCTTACAATTAATTACATTGTGTACATAATTCACATATTGTTAAAATAATAAATAAAAAGTTTTTTTTATAATCATAATCTATTACAGGACATTCCTATAATAAATAATGGATTTTTATTTTATTTTTTATTATACTAATAATGATGAATAATTAAAACATATATTAAATATTAATAATAACAATTAAAAAACTTTTTCTTTTTATTCATTCATTTTCGACTAAATCATCTATCTTAATAATACTTTTTTTCTTTATCTTTTAAACAACATTAGTATTTTATCAACTATCACATCATTACATCATTAAATCTTATGTATGGATAAATATTAAATCTTCCTTTATCTGTCTTTTTTTTTTATATATATATATATATATATATATATATATATAGATTAAAATATTAATAAAGGTTACATTTAAAGATTCACAGAAACAGACTCAACAATATCAAATTTATAAATTTGTATATAATTTATATATTATTTACAAATATTGAACACATGTAAAAAAAAAAATTGTAATAATTTACGTACATTTTTGGACATATAAAGTGAATTTTACCCATTCAACGTCTTACTATGTTAATGGAATGATCATCATGTATGACTAGAGAGATCATAATTTAAAATTTATATAAAATTAAATACCAGATAAATATATTTTAACTTGTAATTAGCTGAACTTGTTCATTTCACTTCAAAATTCACTATATTGGCTATAGTATAAACTATATATATATATATATATATATATATATATATATATATATATATATATATATATATATATATATATTGTTTATGTATAACAATATATTTATGTAGTTTTAGGATATGATTTATATTTATTGAGTATGGTCACATCCTTTAATTTGTATGACACATCTAAACCAACCTTAAAAAGATTGATAATAATGTGATATCCTGTTACAAAGTGCTAAAAAAAAAAGATGTTTTACGCAAAATGGTGATAACACTATATTGAAAATTACGAGGAGATATTAACAATACTTTGGTATAAAAACTTTATATTTTTAATTTCGTAATTGATATTCTAAGGGATTATTAGCATTGTTTTTTGTGAAGAAGGCTAGAGATATCCAAATCTAGATCTCTGAAAAACAGACACAATTATTCATTATCCTCAAAACTTATGGGTTCTTTCTTTCACCATCACACAACACAAAGTAAGTGGTAGGAATACAAATATTCCTCTAAAGAAAATACTATTTTAGCAATCCTTATTAATTAAAAAAATATATTAAAAAATTAGCAATATATTTAAAACACGTGAATTTAAAAAATAAGATTTTTATAATATAATAATTATTTGTAGGTTAACCAGAGACACTAGTGGTGTCGTTGCTGTAGGATAGGTGTGAGTGATAGAGTTAAATAGCTAGACTTTGCTTAATCAAGTTATGGTGGTGCGTGTGATGGATTAAAGCTTCTGATTTAGGTAGTAACCATTGCTATATGCATTGCCATTTTCATAGCTATGCCAAATTTGCATGTTGGTAGCTATAGCTATGTCAATTTATCTACCATTCATGATGATTTGTGAAGAAATAGTTTTGGCAATGGTGTTTTTTGAGAGCTAAAAAAGGAAAGTATCAAATTGCAGCATCTTTTCATCTGAACCTATTGAAGAGGAAAAAACACTACTTCCATGCCATTACTAGACTAGCTAGGTTTTTTAGTACACGAAACTCTGACATTTGTAGGTAGTTGAAATGATTCCAGACACCACACTTATAGTAAATACATTTTAATACTTGTACGTTTCACTTTTTCTATTCTCATTTTGTTAGGTTTCTGATTTTATAACAGATATATTTTGCAAAAACTCTCACTCATATACCTTGTCATGTTTGGAAAACTTTTTCTATCAAAAAGATAATATTTTAAGTTTGAAACTTTTAAAAGATAAAATATCAAGGTACATGCTCAACTAAACCATCATATTTTTTATTGTCTAATGTGTACACGAATTCAGTTTTCGGACATAACTGAATTGTGTTTCTAAACTAGAAATAAATTTCATTTTTTTTCTTTTCATCCTAATTTTGCAAAATGTTAAACAACGGCAATAATTCCAGTAAACTAATTATTAAGTGTTTTGATATTTACTAGTAGTGGAAATAAAAAAATAATTTATATATATTTTGGATTAGAATTTTAAATTAAATAATACCTGTTTAGTAATATTTAGCATATATTCCATAAATTGAATTTAGTAATATTTATAATACAGTGCTGTTTGTTAGTTTTATTTATTATAAAATTAAATAATGTTGTGATTTGTTTTTACATTTTGTAATAATTAAATCTTCATGAAGTAATAAAAAATTATATAGGTATTTGTGGAATGGGCCGCAAGTTCCATGCGGATCTTTTTTCCAACATGGTTTCTTGTTCAATTGGGCTACCATTTCGTTTTCTTATCCACTGAATGGATCTCTTTCGAAGATTAATTGTTCATCAATTGGGCCACATTTTGAACCTGTATGTGGACTGTGGAGTGAGTTTGAACCGCATGAGCAAATTTTAATTTTGTCCAAATTAAGTGCTGGAAATATATGTGGAAACGATATTACCTTCAAGGGGAAATTGTTTCATCACACCCAAAATGCACACTGGTTTTGCTTGGGCCTTAGGCCCATTACTATAAGAATTGGGCCCGTCTGCACAGGGCAGAGAGAAAAAAAAACAGAGAAGGCAAATGATGAATAGGTAAAGAGTGTTATAGAAGAAGAGTATTGCAAAACCTGAGACCCACGATCCAATCCACGCTGCGGCAAAAAGATTGAATGCATGAACATTGTAGACGAGACTTACTACTGTTGTTCGATTTCCCATTTAATTAATAAAAAAATTATTTTTATTATAATATAATTAACTATAAAAATAATATATAAAATAAAAATTTATATATAAAAAAATATCTCATTCCCACTCAAGAAAAATTCTTTTTTATCAAATACAATATATTTTCTTCAAGTTACTCATCATCTTTTCTTTCTTCATCTAATTGTTCTTTGTTCTTATCCTTGTGACTTGAATCAAATGTGTAAAAATTATTTAAGGAAAGAACAATGTGATGTTTGATTAAATAAAAGAGATATAGGTATTTAAATTTTTTAATATAAAAATATAAATTTTACAAGTTTTGAGGTTATTTATTTATATTTATTATTATATAAATTTTATTATTATTTTAAATTATAATTTCTTAAAACAATGTGTTAATTTATATTATTAACTTGATATATATATATATATATATATATATATATATATTAAATTATTAACAAATAAATGATAATTTTATTATTAAACTTATTGAATTTTTTTTTTTAATTATGGTAGGTTAATTCGCCAACTCATCTTTTAACAAGACGGGCCAAGACCTATAGTCCGCCCGCCCGCCCTATTTTTTCGGCCAAAATGGGGCAGGCTGATCCATCTTGCATCCTTAACTTTTGCAAGTATTGGTGGAGACCTGACGCA